TAGAGCACATAGTAATGACAGGAGGCTACTAAACATAATCTTGATATTCATGAGATAGGGTCTCAGTTGTATTGTCTACTCCCAAACATACCTTGTGCCAATATAACTAAGCCACATAAGCCAAATATCAACAGCAAGAGCCAAGACATCCTTCTGCTCTTCTTGAACTTCCTCTTCACTTCTCAAATTTGCTTCAAGTAACACAAGATGATTGTAGTGGAGTAGCCTATACAGTAGGAGGGCCAGCCAGTCAGGAAGATAAAAAGGTAGTATCTAGTAGTGAAACCACAAAAAGTTGTTTCTTAGCTATAGAGCAGTGAGAATGACTATGTTAGAAGGAGTAGTTGGACAGTCCCAGTGACATCTGTTTCTCTGATAAACAGAATGTGTAGGCAGGACTAGTTGAGGTTATGGCTCATTGAACTTGAGGCATGCATTCATTAACTTGCAACTCTGCAGTCTCAGGGTCAACTCTGTATTATAAGCCTGTGTGTGTCCTGTAGTAGTACTGACTATTGAATTACTTCCCTTTTGCAAGGAGCATATCATTGTATAGTATGCACATGTACAGTGTAATGATAACATTGAAGTGCACATGTGCTTATGCCGTATAAGCCAATCCCTTATTGCAATGCACTAGTAGATACAACACTGAAAGTTTATTTATCACAAAAAAATGTCCCAATAGCTTTAAAATATGCACATGAATTAATAAAAAAATAATTACCACACACACATCATACACGCACGCATACACAGTCACTCACAAAAAATAAAGAATATATAGTGATTTGATTCTAAAACAGTCTTTTATTTATTATCATTATATATTAAAGTCTGTATTCCTTCTGCAGATCAGTATAAAGGTCATATCCCATATCTAGCATTGCTCCAATTTTAGTTGCTTCAGAAGAGCGACCCTCAAGATCATTTTTGTCCCACGAGAGCAGGGAGTCATCGTTAGCTTTCAAATAATCATTGCATATTGAGTCAAATGACATCCTTAGAGATGGGTTAGGGTTCCTGTATAAGGAATAGAATATGAGGGAGTATTTGACCTCATACTACTTGTATTTGCTGAGGCAGAGCAGAATATACATAGACTATGAAGCAATACACAATAGAGTTCATGAGAATTGTTAATACTGTCAGTTGGAGGCATGTAGCAGTGATGTAGCTGCCAACAGTTTGTAGTTTAGTGTATATCATTATAGAAATAACAACACCATTCAGTTTTGTTTAGATAAACTGACAAAGGAAAAGCACTTTTGATTCCAAAAGGAATACAATTCTGAACCCATAACAAAACTATAGGGTAAATGGGACAGGCAAACTAACAAACCAGTTCAAAGTAACATGTTACTATTGCTACATTACTAGGCATGAGAAATATAATTACATTATCTCAAATTAATGTAATTGTACCTTTCTGCCTCCAATTGCTAGTAAGCATTCTGTAGTAAGCATAACTTGGACATAATGTCAGCAGTCGTTAATGAACATTGTTGCCAACTGGGTAGTATAGTACTCTTAGTAGGCATTATTGTAATTATATTTCAAGAGGTCAGTTCTTATACTAATGAATAGTTTATGCCACTACTAATGACATTAACGACCATGGCATTCTACTCTCAATTTGTGACAATATTTCCTGCGTAGTACATGATGACAAATGTACTCTACAACTTACCAACAAGTGACCATTAAACTGTACACCTCCCTTGGGCAGCCTGGAGGGGGAGGCAGCAATCCCCTCTGGTCAATGAAGTCAACGATTTCTTGATTTTGATACAAACGAGGGAAAGGTTTTCGTCCGAGGGACCAGATTTCGTATAGGACCATACCATAACTGTACACGTCACTCTTCTCTGAGTAATCTTTTAATTTGAATGCCTTAATTGTGAAAAGGATAAAGAGTAAATGATTTTTTGAGGAAATTGAAAGGAACATACTTCTGGTGCTGTCCAGCGCAGTGGTATCTGTTCAGTTTTGTTCAGGTCAAAAACATGGTTGGCTGCTCTTGTCATTCCAAAATCGGCAATCTAAAAGGACATCAAATTATTTGCAAAGCAAATTATAGTTAATTGCAGTGGTTAATTTGTTTTTTTAATACAAAAGTTTGTCCATAGTATTTTTTAAAATTAGAAATGGATATAACATGATTAAGAGTAGCTTACATACATATATGGATCAGATAGTGGATGTAGCCATTTCTACTAGGGACATTTTCTTACTTTGCAAATGAGATTGTCATTCAATAGGACGTTCCTTGCTGCAAGGTCTCTGTGTACAAAGTTCTTTGTCACCAAGTGTCTCATGCCACTGGCAATGTCACGACAGAACTTGAGGAGTTGTTGAGGTGAAGGAACATCTCTCACTGGTACTGGGTCATTGCTGTCCAACTGTGGCCTGTTTGACAAAAATAATCATAATTAATTTAATTAATTTACTAAAAAAATTGATGACATGGAGACATGTTATTGGATGCATTAATAAATCTAATAAAAAGACACTATATCCTGTACAAATCACAATGGGTCTGTAGCAGTACACTGATTACAGTGCCTGGAATAACAGTCGGCCATATTCTGTTTGTAGACTATCATTTTGTCTGAACAACATAATTTTTAATTAAGCAATTTAACATAATAACCAATTAATCATGTTCGACCATAGGGTTTCCCACAAACCATTTTAAGTGAGCTAACAGCACAAGCTTCATGAGCTGCAAGACCCAATAGTACGCGAGCATGGCTTTTGAAGCAACTTTAAAAATTCATAAAAAATCCAAATTTGATTGGAATCAGCTCAAACTTGATAAACAACATAATAGTGTGGATAAGTATCAGAAAAAATTATTAAAATGGAAAATTCTTTCTTAGGCATTTTTGACAAAATTTGGCCAGAGACCCAAGGCTATAGCCTTTGGTCGCTGGCCCAATTTTTGAGCAACTTTAAAAATTCATAAAAAATCCAAATTTAATCAGAATCAGCTCAAACTTGATACACAACATAAAAACATGTATATGTATCAAAAAAAAATTATAAAAGTGGGGAATTTTTTCTTGTGATTTTTGTCAAAATACCCTGTACTACAGTACTGGGTCTTACTAGGCCCAATTTTTGAGTAACTCAACAATCCACTGACAAGAAGCTGCATGAGCACTATGCCAAAATCCTGTGAGAAAATTTCATAAAAATTGTTAAGCAATATGTTCAGACATAATGTTCAATATTATTTGTTTGAATGTAATTTCAGGCTTTGGGTAATTTTTTTATACAGGTTGTTGAATATTACACATACCTGCTTCCTTTAAGATAAGACTTTAAGTCACCTTTTGACATTAACTCTTGTACCAAAAGGAACTACATTATAAATTTAAAAAATAATTAATTATAGCTTATATTTAGTCAGCCACTGTCAGTTTAGGGTCTAAAATATAATTCCCATGGCCACATATTTGTACCACTTCATGTACCCTGAGCAAAAATATATTATTTTTTATTATTTTTATTATTCTGTCAATGACTACTGAACACATCAATAAAGTCTTTGAGAGGACAGATAAAATTGGATTAGCCAGTTGTACATGTTCTAACCATGGTACATGGTCTATGGCCAAATTTTAAGCAACTTAATTTTTTTTTAATTTTGGAATCATTAAAAATGTTTAAGCATTAGAAAACATAATAAAAAGATCAGTTATACTTACAGGAGTATGGACAGTAGCTACTCCAAGAAGCTTGACAACATTAGGATGGAAGAACTGCATCATCCTAGCCCCCTCTCTCAAAAACTTTGACTTCTCTTCTTCAGATGCTTGCACGCTTAATCTCTTGATGGCTACAGGCCTCCTGTCTCCTCCAGCAAGATACCAAGTACCGGCAAAAACTGTACCAAATTGTCCCTTTCCAATTTCCTTATCAAACCTAATAAGATTCACAATATATAGTAAAAATTAGCAATTAAATTATTAAGATTGGCAATTAAATTATTACGATCCCACACGCAAAGACAAATTAACAGATTGGGGTATAGTAACTATAGTCCTTTATGTAGTCTTGATAGTGAGTACTAATTTGTTGGGTGGAATGTCTTTAAACTCACGTTATGTTTTCAAGTGGTATCTCTCTACACTTGTACTGGTTGAGTTGCTCATAGATGTGCTCTGTCTGCTCAGGTGGCTCAAAGTACTCGGATTTGTTAAGAAAGAACTCTTGGACCTTTGAATAAAAAAAAATTTAAAGCAAATGATAAGGTATAAAAGCTAGCTCTATCTGTGTAGCTATATAATAGTATAAGGCTTTCTGTAAAGAGTAGTAAGAAATGTTGGAAATGCTGGACATTGTGTTATCTCATGTCTGAAATAGCCAGACAACCAAAAGCATAAATGGTCATAGTGCTAGCTCATTCCATTAAAATGACAGCTGTACTGTTACTATTATCATGTAGATAATAAGTTGTATCATTCTTGCTATTACTACTGCACTATGAGCTGTGTGCTTCAAAAATGGAGCACAGGCAACATGTCTACATGAGAGTAGGTCATTAAACTGGACAGTGGACACACATACACTTAATTGAAATAAGAAGATAATAATTTTAATACTTTACCTGTTGCTGGGTTTGAAGCTCTCCCTGTAGTATCATTGATTCTCTTTGATTCTAAAGTAAACAAAATGAAGTGTACATAATGTGAATTGGAACATGTTCTCCCCCCTCGTGGTAAACACAAGTATAGTTGGTACTCAATTCATTCTCTCTATCACAACGAGAGTGTGCAAAACTTGTTTATCAAGGTTTAAATTATTACAAGTGTCCTTCCTGTATGAATAGTGAGAGTGCAACTATCACTACAAGCCAGCATACACAGGCAGATATAGTAATCTCTTTATGGTCAATCGTCTTATCATCAAGTCATGTGCCCAAGGTATGATTGAAGGTGAAACCCCTTGCTTGCTTGCTCATCCGCACACTCTCTCTCTCTCTTTTTCTAAACTCACTCTAGTTGGGACATGATAACCAGATCCAGGCTTTTCCAACACATGGTAGTCGTTATTCTTTGGCAGTGTATCAGTTGGGATCAGCTCATGGTAAACTCTGGTAGGGTGTTCTGCCTAATTTGGAAATAAAGATCGAAATGGAAACAATAGCAACGAAAAATGAAAAATAATACATGCATTATACACTGAAAGAATAGAGAGTTTGAGGTGTCAAAAATAAGAATGTCTGTCACTTTAGGAGACAATAAACAAGAATGCTTTATCTCACCTGCCCAGTGGCTTTGTTAGGATTCTCCAAAACTTGGTAGGTATGAGTTACTAAAGTAGTGCTCTGAAATAATGATATAAAAAACTATAATGAATGGAAGCATCAATTTGACTAATATTATAAGAAGAGAGGGATCATATGTGACATGCATTGTTTCATGCATTCACACACAGATGACATGCCTGTGGTGACGTGAGGTCCTTTTCTTGCAGGGTAAAGTAATGGTGATCTGGAGTGGTTTCCTATATAAAGAGTTCCCTGTCACAACGGATTGTTTGGGGAGTGCATTCAAGCAATATGCATGCAGACACACACAGCTATCATTGGGCTACACACAAAAGAGTTGTCAAAGTATACACATTATGATTATTCACGGATCATTGAGGGATAAATGATAAGGCATAACTAACTGAACAGGCACAACACCAACCTGAGAGCGACGAGGATTAGTTCCTGACTTTCCAAACTTGTTAGTGATGCGAGGCTAAATTAGGAAAACAGAATAATAAATATATAACCACACACAAAGAGACTGTGGGAACAATGCCACACATGATATAACTTATTTTAATATTATTGTGAAGATCTGCAGGCCCTCTTTCTCTCTCTCTCTCTCTCCCTCTTCCTCTCTGTCTCTCGTTATCAATCATGACTCATTTCTATAACTCACTGTTCTGTCCAATACACGTGGATCATCATACTCAGAGAGAGAACTTGTGGTAATGCTTCTCGGTGAATCATAACGCTGGTTGGTGCTTGGGCTTTGATTTCGTGGATACTGATAGTGACTACCACCGGAGCCATTAGATATATTAGAGGGTGTCATGTTCCTGGAATAAGCCGGTGTAGTAGTCCTAGAGGGAGTGACTGTTCTAGAGGGAACGGTAGTACTGATCATTGTCATATAGTCTCTCTCAGCACGGGAAGAACCATTAACATCGTGAAACGTGAGTTCGCTGGGATTATCATAGTCATTGATTATGAAGGAGCTGATCATTTGTCTGTTGGGGGCTCTGAATTCATCAATCTCTTGCCTCATTTCGGGCGATATGGCCCTGACTACACACAAACAGTGTAGAATGTAAACAATAGACAATAAACAATAAACAAAAGGAAATAACGAAAACTGTTGGATAAATGAAGAGTTCAACTTACTTCTGTGGAAATCCAACGAGTCGGATTGAAGTGTTGGTTGTGCTTTTTTCTTTCGGTTGAATTTGACAAAGAGACAGATCAGTACCAGGAAAGCTATGAGTATGACCACAACCACGATAATGACACCTGCTCCTATAAAAATAAAACTATTCTCACCAAAGGCGCTAGTTGTAGTAGTTGGGTTTGTTGTGGTAATAATGAAGCTAGAGGATGAAGAAGAAGAAAGAATGGTGTTCTGGGAAGAGGAGGAATAGAGGAGAGAGGTGAAAGAGGATGATGAAGTTGAAGGAGACATTGCTGATTGAGTAGAAGGTGTCGTTGTCATTGGTATAGGGCCAGTGTCTGTGGTTACAGTCTGGGAAAAAATTAATGATGTAAGACCATCATGTATGGAGGAGGAAGAAGGAACAGTGGGAGCTACACAATCAAAAAATAACCAAATAGTAATAGCAAAGCATATGATTATCAGCTAATGCATGATGTTACAATAAATTATGGCTATCAGAAGGAAATAGTTGCTGGGTTAATAACTATCAAAGCATTATTATTGTTTAAATAGCAATACCACAGCAATTTACCATTATCATAAACATCTTTGTAAATTTGTAACAACAATAGCTATTAGGGCAATTAAGATAGATGCAAGCTTACCAGTAGTTGTTACACTGATAACTATTAGTGGTCTCTTATCAGTCGCATCGAGAAAATAGTTTTCCCTTAGTGATTGACAACTGGGTGGATCTCTATAATATACTGGATTACTGGAGCTCTTCTCTTGCAGTATATCATCAAATTGATTCAAGTTAGGTATGTATACACTGAACATGTCA